GTCAACCTGTTTAAGATAGTCTTTACACCCTGTGCTCTCATTATTACTTTCTTCAGGTTCGTTTTCTTTTTTGATCATACTTGCTAATAATCTCAGTTGCTCTGCCCTGGTTTCCTCGTCTGTATCAGAATGGTATTTGGGAGTTTCTCTGTACGCACTCAGGTTTGGAGTGGAGCTCACGAACGTGGGGGGGTGATGAGAGGCTGGAGGGTAAACGCCCTGCTTTAGCCTCGTGCCTCCTGGGTTTTCTCCTTCCCTTTTAATATTGAGGGGGGGTATATTCTGTAAACCCTCGTCCTCTGGTTCGCTTTGGTCTTCTTCATTTTCCGACGCTTCGGGGGTTTGTGCAATGGAGCTGTGCTCACTTTCAGGATCCATCTCTGATTTTTTCTCTTTTCTATACTCCCTCATTCTTGCCAATTCTTCTTCACATTCTTTATATTTTGCTGTTGCCCTACATAGAGGGTTTGTAATGTACCCGTCTAACCCTGTCACTTTGGATATCATCTTTACTATGGGGTCATACTCGATTGAGGGGCTAATTACTGTCACTATTGTCGTTTGTTTTTGTGTCTCTATCTGTTGCACCCACCATTGTAACCATGTTTTTACTTCTTTTTTTGATTTTGCTTCGCCTGGGTCTTTTACCACCACTGTTTGGACTCCCTTCCGGGCTTTCGTACAGCAAAACCTTCCTTTTTCTCTTATAAATTTTTCCAGTCCGTCCTCCAGAACTTTTCCATCTAGCTGGGGATTACTTTCTCTTAGTATTTTCTTCACTGCTGGATTCCAGGTATGATACCCTTTTCCATATAGGATGACCTCCGCCTTGGTTACTCCTACTGGTTTTTCTCCTGTACTTTGTACCATTATCTTTTGGCCATCTGTCTTTCCTTCTACTGGCTTCTGTCCTTCTTGGCTCTCCTGAGCCGGCTCGGGTCTGTCTGGCTCTACACTCGTAGATGCCCCTCCTGAGGCCATCGTTATGTCTTTTCTTGTCGGGTCAAGTTTGTCGGTCCTCAAAGTCTCCAGACTTTATCCTAACGTTTTGGACTAGGACAGACTAGCTGCTTACCTACGATTCTGGATTATGGTCAGTAACCCTCGTAAGCCTTCTACCCCTCCTCACTAGCCTCTAGTGATCTATTTGGGGGTACTAACTGGGGGGTCTCCCAGTCACTGACAGCTCCTTACTCTCTAGAGCTGCTCTATCGACGCCTATCAGTCCTTTGTAGCGCGTCTTCACTTCTGGGACTGCTCTTGTCCCATCTGGGGTGCCATGTCTGCTTTCCGATAGGCAAAGGTAACCACTGGAGGTAGCGATAAGCACCTTTGCTTGCAGCCTCTCCTCCAAGGGGTCCGGAAGCTTACTTCAGCGCCGTGGTATTACCTGTAGCTGTCTAAAGTGGCCTCATTAAGGCTGCGGCGAGGTGATTCATCCAGAATATTAACGACCTTAAATCCGTGAGTCACACCCTAATCTCACTCTGTTACCTCGATCATCCAAGCAGCAGGGATCGGATCTTCTGGTCCAGAGAAACTCGCGTTGTGGCCGCTCACCTCTTACGTTAGCGTTGCAATTGTTAACTGTTCTGGTAATCTTTAGGGCCCTGGAAACGGGCTCAAGGGTGTTGTTTATCAACTAGGAAACCTTTACAAAAACCTCCTGTTATTGGTGTTGTTAAGTGAACCAAGCATTTCCATGTTTTGCTCATTAAGGGTGAAATAACAGTCCAGATTTGTACGTTTTGCTTTGCTTTTAATCAATAGTTTGCGCAGGGGTACAGCAACAGGCACAATTTTATAATGAGTAATTTATCATGAGTACATGGGATACACTTTCTTCCCTAAACAAGGCGATGACTACTATCTGTGGAAATTCTAAACCTCAAGAGCCCTTGAGGGTTTACAGATACTGCCTTCACATAAACCTTTCACAACTCAAGCCAAAAAATGTTCTCTCTCAGCTCCCTCATGAACCAGAAACACCTTCGAGCAAATCTCACTAGTAGCCAATTCAGTACTTCTAAATTTATTCTGTATGCTGTTCTTCCAATTTGATGAAACAATTTAGTCAGAGCAGAGTAAGAATGAGGTCGTCCGCTTACCATGATTTTGGAATGCCCCTTAGTGAGACACTTGTGGAGGTAAGGGCAGATCTCCTGTTCTCTAGGAGAGAGATACAGGCCGACCTCAAAGGCAGGTGCAACTATTTCCAAATTAGAAGATCAGAGTTTGGACGGGCCCAGGTCATGCATTATAGAAGTAGGAAACTCATCCAGTTCGAGTGTTGACGAAAGAAAGCTTACATCCAATCCCATGTTAGTGAAGAAAAGAGTTAACTTCCATCATCATCTCAAAACTGGTAAAATCCAATCTCCTTTTTGGGCTCCTTCTGATCCTGATGAGCTGCCCCTCGCCTGTAATTCTCTCTGCTCAGCTCCTTGGTTCAGCTCCGACTCTGCATGGACCCAGTTCATTCTGCCCAGTCTGTATTTAAAGACTTATTCATCCCTCCTCCTCTTAAAGAGGGGTTATGGAAAATTACATCATCTTTTTTCCAGTAACTTCTCTGCTGTTTTGCACCTCAACCGGTTCAGACCGGTTTTCTCGGTACTTTCCAGAACTTGTTTTGCTCAAAGATGAGTCATCATGAAATGAGTTGTGTTTGAACTCTCTGACTCTTGTTCTGCTCGAGGCATGTCCAGACTTGTTTCTCTGTTTCATGAGGCCTCTTCAACTTTACCATTTCACAAGCAAAAGTGAATCACACAATCTTACATAAGATTATACAATGTTTTAAAGATTAACACTTCCATTAATTGATTATGTGTTGATTATTAGTAAAACAGTAAAACAGTTTAGTTACACGTTATCAAAACAGTAAAACTCTTTGGTTACATTATCATTTTCAGCTTGATTTAAAGCAGGAGTTCAGTCCTGCTGCTGAGGAGAACTTTTGATCAGGCTTCATTTTTCTTAAAGCTGGTGGTCTGTTCATGCATTATCATCACAGACACCTGGTTTATTGACAATGTGGGAAAGGTGAAACACCCACACCTGTCTCCACCCTCATCCGCCCCGCTCTGGGTCCTTGAGCAAGGCCCTTAACCCCCACCATCTGCTCCCCCGGACACCCTAGATGGCAGCTCTCTGCTCCACACAGAGGGCTGTGGTTGTGTCAGGAAGAACATCTGGAGTAAAAATAATTGCCAAGTCTTCGTGCGAGTCAGTTCGCTGTGGTGACCCGTGAAGAAGAGAGCAGCCGAAAGAAGGAAAGAAAAAGGCAAATTTTTCTAAAGCTGTGGGTGAAGTGACAAACAGAAAAAATTGACAAGAATAAATATAAATAATTAAGAATAAATAAATAATTTAAGGAGAAATAAAAACATAAATTACTGAAGCTGCAGAGCACACTTTTCTGCTCTGCTTCATAAAATCCATGAGTTCTCGTCTAAAACCTGTTAAAGGAGTAGACTCCCATTAAATCTCTTTCTTCTCCCAAACACCCAGTGTCAGATTGTTTAAACATTCCTGTCCTGAAGCCGTTCATCACACAGCCTGCTCCATCCCACAAACTTCACAAACTCTTCTTCGTTCTGCCCTGTCGCCGACTGGAATGGGGAAATTGGAAATACCCTGCATCCATCCACCCGTCCCTCTGTCTGTCCATGCGTGTTGTAAGCATGATAACTTAAAATAATAAGTGAGGTACAGACTTCCATGTTATGTGGCCACATCTAGGTGTAAGAAAGTAACCTTTAGAAAATCGTGTTGCCAGATGGCCAACATACATGTCCATCCATGTTGTGAGCTGGATAACATGAAAATTAAGTGTGCCAACTTCTATTTTGGTGTGTGGCAGCATCTAGGTGCACAAAAAGTCCATCCATCCATCCATCCATCCATCATCTTTACCTGCTTCTTCCTTTCCGGGTTGTTGGTGTCCACTTTTGTCAATGTCCAGCAGTCACTGTGTGAGAGGTGGGGGACACCCTGGACAAGTCTCCAGTCCATTACAGAGACACATAGAGACAAACGAGACAAACAGCCATTCACTCTCACTCACACCTAGAGACAATTTAGAGTTATCAATCAGACTAACATGCATGTTTTTGGTCTGTAAGAGTCAGCCTCTCCACCATCATAGACATCTAAACCTCCAGATGCAGGAAGAGGGCCACCTGCATCAAGAAGGACCCCACTCACCCAGCACACACACTTTATGCTCCACTCCCCTCAGGAAGGAGGTTGAGGAGCATTAAGTGTAGAACCACTAGACTGAGGAACAGCTTCTACCCTGAGGCTGTTAGACTCATGAATCTCTAATCAGGATAATCAGTGTGAAAAAAAGAATCACTTTAATGTCACTTTGGTTGTTGATATGTGCTGCTGATTATCCATTCTGCTGATTTTATGCTGCTGATTTGTTTCATGCTGCTGTGTTCATTTGTACCCGTCTGCTCACACAGACTCATGTTCGTGCTGCTGTTGTTCGGCATATTGTTTCTGTACTATTAGTGCAGCACATAGCGTCTTCTTAGTTCATATCTTAGATCTTATTACAGTTTTCTTTTACAATTTATACTTTTGTTGGATGTAACTGGGACCCTGTGTACACAATTTCGTTCCACCTTATGTTCCACATGTGATGCGAATGACAAATAAAGAACTTTGACCTTGAAACCGGCGTACCCGGAGAAAACCCATGGAGACAATATGCAAACTCCACCCAAAAAAGTCCCTGGCCAGGATTTGAACCAGCAACCTTCTTGCTAAGAGCTAACAGCTCTACCAACTGAGCCACTGTGCCACCTGTATGAAAAGTTTCTATTCCAGTTCAGAAAAACACTCAAATCAAAAACAACCAACCTTCACAGTAGAAGTCCTTCAGCAATAGGGAACTTCAGCATACCGCTTGTTTATTTTATTTTATCTGAATTGTTTTAGTCGCCTCACTACCATCATGACCCTTGTTGTGCGATTTCTGTTTATTTCAGTGTGCCAGCGAACGCCCCATTCCTGCACCCGTTTCTACTCTGAAACCAAGAGTGTCCCTGTGTGGGAGGGTGGGGTGTGCCGCTACCTGTGAGTGTGTCAGGCCTTCTGATAAATGCTTTTCATTCTGTAATCTGTTGAATCAAACTAATTATTTTTCACTTCGCAGGTACAAAAGAATATATAAACAGCAGCAGGACGTGTGTTACCGTGAGACTTGTGAACCGGTGCTCCCCAACAGAAGTCAAAGTAAGCTCAGCAGCCGGTCTGCATGTCGGTGAAGTTACTTTCAGCAGAAAAACGTTTTTAACTCACTGGTTTGAACTTTCCAAACAGCCAGAAGAAGATCCAGACAACAATGAAGACTTGTTTGCTTGAGTAAACGTAATTCAGATGTAGGTACTGTAAAAAAAAAAAAAAAAAAGATATACTGAATGTTCAAAGGTTTACAGATAAAGAGCTGTTTCTGTTATTCTTTCTTCTAGAGCACCTGGATGCTGTTGAAAGGACTGCTGTGTAAAAACCTCTAGATTCAGTGTTGGTGTACATAGTCTACTTGAAGTACATGAGCGTCTAAAACCATTAGAATATCGTGGAAAAAGTTCCATTTGTTTTGTCAATAGTTTCAGAAAGTGAAACTCAAACATTACATAGACTCACAGAGTGGAATATATCAAGCCTCTTTGTAAATATGATGATTACGACTCACAGATCATGAAAAAGCAAAACTCATAAAATTAGAATATTGTTTCAATCACTCTGATCAGCTGATTAACTCCTGGACATGAGCTACATGTCTCGTTGCTCAAGTCCAGCCACTCCTGAACCAGAGACATCAGAAGCATCTTACCTGCTGAGGAGACAAAGAACTGGACTGTCTCTCAGAGGTCCAACTGTTCAGGTTAAAGCAAATGTTCATGTCATTTGTAAATCAAGGTCTCAGAGTCTGCAGGAAGAGTGGAGAGGTCCAGAATCCACGTTGTTGAAGTTCACAGTGAAGTTTTCAGTCAGTGATGGTTTGGGTCCATGTCCTCTGCTGGTGCTGGTCCACTGGGTTTTCTGAAGTCCAGTCCACGCAGCACCTAGCAGAACATTTCAGATACTTCCTGCTTCGTGCTGTGGACGAGCTTCATGCTGGTTTCATTTTCCATCAGGACTCAGCTCCGGCCCACACTGACAAAGGTACCAGAAGCTGGCTGTGGAAGATTCTCGTTTTCTGAAACACTGATTTTTGTTTTTTCATTAAGTTTTTTAAGCCATAATCATTAAAATTACAAAACATAAAGACTTGAAATATTTCACTCTTTGTGTAATGAATCTAATGCGTTTCACTTTCTGAAATGATGGACCTTTTTTTTTTTTTACTTTTTCATGATGGTCAGTTGTTTTTAGATGTGCCTGTACATGATGATGATCGTTTTGTGCTGAAAGCCCTGTCATGACCCACTGTAACAGAAGCCATGGTTCATCTGGAGACGCCTGCGAGCTTCATCCTCAGTTTTATGGGCCTTCTGAACTTAAACAAGAAGAAGGACCTGCATCGTTTAGGATGTTTGCTGACTGATTTTGAACAAGCAAACATTGAGAAGCAGCATTAGAGACATTACTGTACATACTGCACCTCTTCTCCATGTCCATGCTGACACATTAAAGAGGCTTTTAGTTGTGCTTCAGCTACACGTCTGTCCCTCAGGGAACCATAGGAAAGTGCTCAGAGTCCAGATTGTTTCAGTCTGGAGACACAAAGTATACAGCAGCTTCAGAACTGTGTTTGACATCCTACACTTTTCCCAGTTTTGTTATGTTGCAGCCTGGTGCTGAGAGTTTGTTTTTATACTGTTAATCTACATGTTTTTACTGGTTCGCTGCAGGACCTGCAGAGCTGTCTGTCCTGTGGTTCTCCTCTGTGAGCTTTGAAGGTGAACTTTTGGCCCAAGCTGAGGTCCTGAGTTCTGTGGAACAAGTTATTGAGGATATCTCTGCTCCAGTCAGGTTCCCCCTCAGCCCTGACCAGACCCCCAGTCCATGCTGCTTTTTATAAACACCCCCACAGTATAATACTGCCACCACCATGGTTCACTGTTGAGATGGAAGTGGGCAGGTGATGAGCAACAGTTCTACAGATGCAATGTCCATCCATACATACATACATGCATACATTCATACATACATTCATACATATATTCATACATACATGCATACATGCATTCATACATAAATGCATTCATACATACATGCATACATGCATTCATACATGCATACATGCATACATACATGCATACATGCATTCATACATACATACATTCATACATACATGCAGTCATACATACATGCATACATACATACATACATTCATACATACATGCATACATACATACATGCATACATGCAGTCATACATGCATACATACATGCATACATGCATACATGCATTCATACATACATACATTCATACATACATGCAGTCATACATACATGCATACATACATACATACATTCATACATACATGCATACATACATACATACATGCATACATACATGCATACATGCATTCATACAT